AGGAAGGAAGGAAGGAAGGAAGGAAGGAAGGAAGGAAGGAAGGAAGGAGCATTTGTGTTCATAAGAAGCTACATACCATTTTCTTTGTGAACAAAGGCTCCCTGAGGTGATTCTGGGATGCCTTTCCAGATTGTGATTGATTTGGGATAACCTGTGTCCATAGTTCTTATATCTTCACTATATCTCCAATACCTGAGAGAAAGAATTGAGATTAAAATAAATTTTATGAAAGCCTTTTTCAGTGTGTGAAATGAAGTACTCTGTGAAATAATATGAGGGCAACCTGGTTATTTCTATTTAAAAATATACTTCTAAATAGTAATGAAGACATTTAAACATTTGATGATTTAATACATTTTTCCATTAAGTACATAAAAGATTAAAGATTAATCTATCCTGAGAATCAAATCAACGAATGGTTTTATATAATCAAAACAGTTATGATACTTAGGGGTTAAATCCAGCTGTACAATGATGAATATTATATGCAATAATCTATAGTAATGCTTTATTCAAGATTTGAGTTAAAGTTCCCATAGCACTTCTAATTCTATGTTGTACTTTTCAGAGTCTTTTTAAAAATTCCATTGTGTAATATTTAAGCAGCCCAAGCAGCTAGATTCCTTACATATATTAATTTATAAAGAAATAACACACTATGAAAAGTATATACATATTGAAAAAGAAAAGGAAATTCAGATTGCAGTCTTATATATGAGAAGTCTCACTGAGTATTTACAAGGAAATTTATGGAATTTTCTTAATAAACATTTTTTTTCTAAATTATTTATATTTTTAAAAAGGTTTTATAGCTCCCCACCAGAGTTAATAAAAAGGATTACTCCTGGTCTCAAGTACACATCAGAAATGACATATTCTATATATTTATATCTCCACATTTATGTATGGCTATCTGCATCTGCTATACATACAGTAAGAATGCAATTTGTAACTGAAAGCATTTAGTCTTATCCTCAGTAAATTTGCAATGCACCTTATTTATGCAGTTCTTAGGAAAATAGATTGCCTTATTAACTGGGAGCAGAATCCTGCTTTTCTGATTGGCCTCAGAGTATCTACACCCAAGTAGCTCTGAAATCCTAATCGGAAGAAATATCAAATTCAGTTTCAGAGATTCTTTGTCAGTAGCCATGTACATTGGGAGAAGTTCTATATAAAAACTCTATTTGCTAAGAAACATTTAATAGAAAAAAAAATAACAACAACAAAAGTAATCCCTTCCCCTGGACTGCAACAACATTTTAGTAATGCAAAAGAGATTGCATTTCCACCAATATGCCCACATTTGTTTCTTCCTAACTCGGTGATGTAATTTCTTGATCTATATGCAAAAGGGTGTGGTCTGCATCCATAATGCTTTACGATGTTTATATTTGAAAATAATTTGAGGCCTATTTGATAAAAGTAAATCTTTTTCTAAATAGGGTTTATTTCTGAGTCGGAACTGCAGAAAGGAAAGAATCTTAGACTACACTGTTGCCTAGAATAAAGGTCCATTATATTCATGTTTTAAGAAATGGTGGGTAAGAATTTATTTTTGCATCAATTAAAACAACTGAAAAAAATGTTGTTGGCATTTTTTCTATGCACAGAAAAATGAAAAAGTCCATAGAATATCAGGTAATTACTATGAAGAAAAATAAAATGACAAAGTTTGGAGATTTGTATAATATGACTCATTGCTTTATAGATTTTTCATTATTTTTCGCTTGCTTTATTCAAGGTAGATTCTTGTTATTTACAGATGCAATACCTCTGAATAAAAAAAAAATCATGTTGAAGAAATGCACAGTTTTGAGAAACTAAACGTTCCTTTCATTATATACAAGCAGTGACTGAGAACCAGCACCAGTAATTTGTAGGCTTAAAAAAGGCAGAAATAGAAGATTGAAGTAGCTCCAAAGCAGATATGTGTGACTTTTGAGACCATGGATTGAACAAATTTAACATGGTTGGAATAGCAGAATGAACATAGGTGAAAGTTATTTGCAGAGATTGGGTTTCTTCTCCCTTGTTTTATAACTTTATTATGCCTATTTTTACAATACAGTTGTTATATGTTTCATTGACATGGCTAAAAGTAGTCATCTCAATGTTTAGCAGTCATAGCCACGGTCTTTAGAGAACCACAGAATAATGGGGTGACGAATGGAGGCAACTACCCTGATCACAAGATGTGAACCCAATCCAATAAGAGGCAGAGGAATGACACATTAAAATCACTATCTAATTCAATAATTCAAGAGGTGTGGAGACACAAATGTTTGCTTCCTGCTTAGTTGAATAAACTTAAGATTTGTGCCATGAAAATGCGCTTGCATTTGTTTGATTCTTTGTGATTTGCTTGTCTGTCTGTCTGTCTGTCCTCATTGTGTTGAAAAGCCGTGTAGCATTTCTAATATAATCTGCAAAAAGTGCTTCAGAGCACTGGGAATTTTCTGCAACATCTACATTTTTTCCCCAGGATCACTTGGAAGCAGCAGGAAAAAGATGCTGCTAGTTTAAGGTACCACAGATTGGTGCTACAATCTGTTCCCAACACATTCCTCAGAGATTGAAGTCAAAATGTTATCCAGCAATACTGTATGGTTGCTCAGGTCTATCTTTCTCCTGGGAGGTTATAACACCTTATCAAGTCTTTGTAAGAAGACAATTTTCCTCCTTTGGCTTTGTTATCACCTTTTGCCTCACCTTTTTTATGCCTACCACATCATCACAGTTAAAGAAGCAACAGTGGGCTGTTCTCAGTTCAGAAAGAACTTTGTAAGAAGCTTATATGTGCAATTAAAACCAGTGGGAGAATTCAGCCTATATTATATTAAGAAATAAAAAAGGGATATAAACAATATGTGCTGAAAAGCTTAGTGTGATATGGGCTTATTCCCACTAAGTGGTCAATATCCTGTAATAGCTCAATTATCTTAGCATGGCTCACATTTTTCAAATCTCCTCCTTTATACGCTGTATTGCATTTATGACCTGCTGGGTCTCATTATGCTTGTTCTAGATCTAAAAAAAATAACCTTCTCATCAACAGAAGTTTTTATTTTACTTTCCCTTGGTTTTTTTTT